AAAGTGAAATAATATATGTAAAAGTGAAAATAAAAAGTAAAATAATTAAAAAGTGAAAAATAAAAGTGAAAAATAAAGTGAAAAATCGAAAAAGTGAAATAATATATATAAAAGTGAAAAATAAAAAGTGAATTTTCTAAAAAGTAAAAAATAAAAAGTGAAATTTTAAAAAGTGAAAAATAAAAAGTAAAAAGTAAAAAGTGAAATAATAAAAAGTGAAATAATGAAAAGTGAAATATGAAAAGTGAAATAATACTAGGAGATTTTATCATTATATAAATATTTTTGGAATTTTCATGTTTTTCAATTATTTTTTTTGAATTTGCGATTTTTATGTTATTATTGTAATACTAATATAATATGTTATTCATATTTTATTAATTTTGCAAAAGTTGCTGACATTATGAGAAATAAAGCAATTCTGTACTATTATTTTTCTATTACTATAGGTTTAATATAATAATTTTTTTCAAAAACTTATCTGCTTTTTAAAATAGTATTATTTTTCATCAAATTCAAAAACTTGGAACTTAGACTTATCAAATCAGATAATTTTTTGTGGATCCAATTTTGATATTTTTGGTGAACTCAAGATAAGAAAGTTGGTATTTGAATTTTAGATATGATTTTTTTGTTTTATTTTTGCTACTAAAAAAATTCCATTTTTATTTAATATACAATGAATAATATGCTCTGAAATTTTGATAATTTTAGTTTGTGAACACTGAAAGCAATAAAATGAATTGTTATTTTTTCTAACCAGTTATTTAATAACTGTGGATGACCAAATTTGCTTATATCATTTAAAATACATTTTTCATGTCATTTTTTATTGATAATAGCACTGATATTTCAGACTCTTGCTATTTCTCTTATAATATATTCATTTGAAGTGAAACTAGAATTTTGACTCTTTCTACTAGAGTCATATGACATTTTACAATTTTTTTTTTGTTTATTAAATTGCAATAACATGATACAGGAACAAAATGATAAACAATTTGCTTAATTATTTTGTGAATTTATGTAACACATATTTCATGCAAGTCAGATGATTATCTTGCAATCAAAAATAAAATCAATTTAGACTTTAAAAAATATAATTATTATTATTGTTGTATATGTTTAGTTTCATTTTAAATTTTATTATGAATTTATTAAGATATATAAAATTAAAGAATTTTCATTTTTTGTTGCATTACTTATGATCGTCACTGTATACATGTACATAATTTGTTATGTTTCCCGTGCTTGTATGTACGTACTACATGTATACCGGATTTACGTGATTGTCTATTAAGATGAGAAAATATTAAAACGAGAGAAACAAGTAATAAAAAATATAGACAATTCCAATATTTCGATAACAACGTTTTGCTAAGAACAATAAAAATTGTTAGATTTTTTTAAATATAAATAATAAATAAAATTTTGTCTTCACTATCGTTCTTTTCTTATTGTCTTTGATTCGTCAGACAGTGCATAACATTTAAACTCATCAATAGATTGTACATGTATTTTATAAATTCTATAAACTTCTTTACTAAGAAGTAAAAATACAAAAATTTAATCCGTGGATATGATCAAGAAAGGCTTATTCTATCATATTCACGGTTGAATTTTGTATTTATTTCTTAGTTAAAGAAGTTTATAAAAGTTATAAAATACGATCTATTAGATGTTATGCACCATCGCGATAGTCAATAGGACGCTAATGATCTTTGTAATCTAGTTTCATTGAAAAATCAATATGCTAAAACGTTGAGACTATGCTGCTGCTATTAACGAAAAGAACTTACGTATATACATTTGTGACAGATATTTTAAAGATCATATTTGTAATGATTTAATATTAACACTAAGTCGAATACATTTATTCGTTTAACTACATGTAGATCGATATTAAACATTAAAAACGTTCAATAAAGTAAAAGACAAATTATCTCAAAATGTGTACTATCAATATAAATAATTTGTTCAATTTTCTAGTCTACTACCTCTTAAAGCCAAAGCTTCATTAAATAATAAATATATACTTGATGTCTATTCACAATAGCATGCTTATAAATAAATTTACATTAGGCAGACTCACAAAAAGAATCTTAATGCTGCCATACTATCTGCTTTTATTTCAACAAGTTTATGCACCGGTGCCGGTGCCACCGATGCCGGTGCCTAAATTGGTGCCGCCGTTCAAGATGCCGAAACCGCCATAACCATTGGGATTGACGCCGGCACCACCGTAGCCGTTTGCGATGTTGGTGCCGCTGTTAACGGTGCCGACGCCGCCGGTGCCACCGTTAATGCCGGCGCCACCGTAGCCGTTGCCAATGTTGATGCCGCTGTTAGCGGTGCCGAGGCCTCCATTTGTGCCGCTGCCACTGTGGGCGTCGCCAATGTTGATACCGCTGTTAGTGTTAGTGGGACCATTGTTGCCTTCGCCTTTATAGCCGTTGCCGATGTTGACGCCTGTGTTTTGGACGCCTTCGCCGTTGCCGATGTCGACGGCTTTAGTAGTGCCGACGTTGACGCCTTTGTCACTGATCTGAGTGCCGCCACTACCGAAGGTGACGCCGGAGCCTTCGAGGGCCTTAGTGTCGATAGGAATCGCGTCAGATGAAGCGAAGAGACGGATTGCCAGAATCAAAGTGACCACAAAAAATTGTTTGAAGGTAGTCATTTTTCGTTAATTTGAAAAGATAAGAAAAGTTTTTGTCTGAAATACTTGTTGCTGTTAGACGCTTTTTATCATATTTTATTCTTACAAAGAATGTTGTCTAACATGAAAAGCGTATCGAGAACGAAAAAATAAACAACTAGTAGAAATTACACAGCCATAGCGAAAAAGCACAGCCCTTACATGGTCCACAGCTCAAAAATCCCCAGCCAACTTACACAGCCATTAGAAATTCATTTGTATAACCTGTCTGACAGTACGTATTCGGTTTTTTCAGCTGCCGATCTAAATGACTTGATACGAAATTTTAAATACCATTTAACTTTAGTTATATCGATTCCTTCCTTGGCTATGAAATCTTTTAAAAGATACAAAGTAGACAGCTAGAACTTTTGCTGATTTTCTAGTAATAACTTGCACTATACAAACATCTTTTATTTCAGTTTATTATATATATGCGAGATAAAACTATTGAATGAGATTCTTTGATTTTTGACATTATCCTTATCGTTATTAGTTGAAGAATCATATATAATAAATTTATAGCGTGAGTATCAAAAAATCATAATCATAATCATATACTTGCTGATTTTTGAATTATGAAATTGTGAGTTTTTTTTTACGTTGTTGATTTTTTAAAAGAAAGATATGAGATTCTAATTTCGGAGAAATTGTAAAAAGACTGATATTATAACAACATCGGTATAACAAATTTAGCTATGCAAACGCACCGGAAAAAAGTTGGCATGCTCAGTTTTTTGTTTTTCAATGATACACACCCTTACAGTATATTACCGGAAATTTCAAAAATGAATCTGTCACTTTGGAACCCGATATCTCAACATCCATTCGAACAATGATATATCTTTGTTCGAATGGATGTTGAGATATCGGGTTCCAAAGTGACAGATTCATTTTTGAAATTTCCGGTAATATACTGTAGGGGTGTGTATGTATTGGTATAATGTTATCTTCGTGATTATGCAGAATTCCTCTTTTACTTATTGTAACGATTGTTATTCCAACATGTTCGTACACGTTGCTCATTCCAATTATCGCCAAGATCTTGGCGTTTTTGTAAAATTTCAACTACATGTACAATTTCCTCAGGAAAAGTATCATATATAGACGTATATCTTTTTCTCATCAATTGTAAGTCAGCGCCGACTTTTTGTGTAATTTGCTTGCTAGAATCAAATCCTCTTAAATTAGTATTTTTCTGATATACGTACGTACACGTATAAGGTGAAATTTGAATCGATATCGACATACGTACATATTGATGCAAAATTGCACTAATCGTGACTACTGTGCAAGATACCTTAAACCAGCAAATTTACTACAATTTTAAAATTTTTCACACAAAAAATTTAATGTAAAAAATACAAAAGAATAAATAGAATAAAGTTACGAAAACGGCTTGTTAATTGGTTAAAGTTGAATTGCTCTAAAGTGCAAATCTTACTAGTAACATTTGCTGGTTTAAGGTGTCTTGCACTGTATAACAATTAAAGTCCTGCTGAAGTCATTTCTGGAACATTTACAAAAATGCAGTATATAATTCATTATGTTGTTTTTTATGCATAAATTGATGATTTACGGAAATGAATAAATCATCGCTGTTTAATTGAAACACTTCCATAATAAAATAAACTCAAAGATGGCGCCTAAAATTTCGAATACTCATGATTGTGGTTAGGGGAGTGACTAATATCGAGTTACTATAGAGGTAACCCCCCTCCCCCATGTGAGATTTTTATTATATTTTATTGGCTAATTATTTTGATCACGTGAAAGTGAGATTTTTGAGACCCCTCCCCGCTCTGATAATTACGTAATATGTCACTCCACTTAATGTTACGATTGTCAAAAAAAAATAGTTTTGGAACAATTTATAAAGAGGTCTGGTTGGTCGGACGAATTGAAAGTGGGATTATAAAGAAAATAATTTAACGTTAAGCGATCTAAGAACACGAAGTCGTGTTGAAATCATTGCACAATTCGGACTGCTCTAAACTACACTATTTATTCTGGATATCAAGCCAATTATCATGGAATAACTAAAAACCCAGCTACGAATGAATATTTGATAGTAAAAGATACCCTGTAAATATATTATTGATGCTTACCGGCCCAGCAGATATAGAAAAATCCGATCAAGAAATTTGCGGAGTATTTCCTTATAGGAGTCCGGAAATATTAAATGGAAAACACTGAAGCTGTAGATATTTATAGTTTTGGGATGGTACGAGGTTGCCACCATTGGTGAACGACATCATGATATATTTAATGTACCCGAATGTTGCAAATTTATTATTGAAAAACATTCCAGAAAACAGATCAACTGCTGAAGACTTTATCGACTCCATAGAATTTGTGGCAAACTGAATACTTTGCATTTTCAATACTACAACCTTTAGAATGTCTAAAATCACATGAAGAGATTAAAGAGTGTCTTGAACTAACGCTAGAACAGATAAACTTAACGGGACGATGAAATCACAAAAAAGCAACAAATACACTCAAATGCAGTTACACCAGTCGAATCTTTACTACAAAATTCAATTTCAACTGATACAGATATTATTTGTTTCTAAATATACATGTAAACCATATTAAACTTTCACAATAGTTCCAAGCGACATGAAATCAACAAGAATGAAGATACAAGAAAAATTACAACTTCATGATGAAGCACTACAATAATATAAGAACGTTAAAAGAAAATGGTAACTAGTTTACTTTTAAAACGTTTATTTTTGTTGATTTAATTTAAGAGTCTAAAAACATTAGCGTTAAATTTAGAAATTCTGACAGTAATCATGGAATTGATATTATTTTTTTCTTCTTTTATGTGCAAAATGTGATAATATCATTTTTGTTACTTTTTTTATTTATAGTCAATATGAATTTTATAAGTATAAAAATATGAATTTGATTGTCAATTAGTCAATTTTGCCCCCTTTTTTGGTCTAAATATCAAAGTTCCAAAATTTAAAAAAATTGCAAAATTTTAAAGAAATATTTGATTTCAATTTTTTAAAATTGAAACAAACTGTATATATTTAAAATACTTGTACCAACCTTAAAACATGTATACTAAATATATGAATAATTTATTTTAAATTATTAAGAAAAACAAATTTTTTGTTAACATAATTTCATTCGTGGACTGCCAACTAAGCCAAGGCAACACACTTCAATATTGTGTTTTTTCTTATATTTTTCAGCTCACTACTTACTTTTAATAACTCGGTTATTGGTCATGATAATAAGGATATACAATTTTATTTATATATGCTAGTATAGCTTGATTTAATTCATCATGGTATTAAATACATAATGCATTTTGATAGTAAATCGATCAAGATTATTTTCATGATTTAACAAAATAATATCGATATCTACAAATGAAAAATTTAACCGTTGATTTGCTACTGATATCGATATGATTTCTATTTTTGTTGATTGGATAATTGTGCAATCTGAATCGAAACCAAATTTATTTATCAGACCGAATAAAAGTTCTTTGTCATTTTGACTCGGACATATCTCGGGAGTTAACCATATCGGCTTTTGTCTAAAAATCGCCGAATTATAATTGTGATACACAGGTCATGAGAACATCTAATATGCAGACAATGTGTTACGAAACATTATTGTTGGATGACGATAATTGAATGCCTTGTGTCAGCCAACAAATACATGGATAAAACCAATTTTTCCTCATCTGACAAATTCAAACCATTATGAATGATATCGAAAGTAAATGTAGACAATTATTTGAGGCATTACAAAATGAAAATAATAATTTCCTACATAAAATAAAATATATTGATCATAGCATTGAACTGCTTAAGAATGGTAAAGACTATCTAAACTTCATACCAGAATTCATTAATTATACCAATATAGAAACAAAACACGAACAAGGAGAGAAAATAATTAAGTACGAATGGGACGCCAACAAAATTTCCGTGATTGTTGACTCTGCCATTAAACTGCTGAGAAATAATTACGCATCTCATGAAATCATTATAAATCAGCATATTCAACTCCGACTATCTTTACAACAGCCGCAGCAAATCAATAATTTCAATTCACAATCTAAAATAAAAGATGTTATATTTGACAACACGCAAAAATTCTATCCTGGATTTAAATTTCTTTATGATTACGAATGGACAACCAATAACGAAAAACAACCACACCAAGAACAACAACTGACAAATAAGAGTGAAGAAATGCATGATGTTGTTTTAACTGATGGGTTTGGCATTTTCTTATTAGTGAAAATTCGAAATACGAGTAAATCTTTGCGTAATAATTCAGCAAGCCAATTGTTAAGGAATAAGAACTTGTTTAAGGAAGAGAAAAGAAATGCTGACAAAGTTATTTGCGTGATTGCGGGAATTTTGAATATTGATGATGATGGTGGTGGAAAGTTTACATTTTTGGATGAAATCGATGAAATTATTGCATTGGCCGTTCAAAGGATAAATAATAACAATTCGTCACACGATATGATTAATGGTGGTGATAATTCTCGCAAGGACAAATTTAATGAATTTGCATTAGGCCAGCATAACAACAATAATAATCATAATGAGGTTCAGACTCTGATCAGAGTATTTCACGACGAAATTGATCGACTTAATCTCCAGTTAGTTCAAGAAAAACAACACGCATTATCAATTCAATCGATGCATAAGCAACAATTAGAAAAGCTTACCCTCAGTCATACTAATGAAATCGATTTATTACAACAAACGCATCAAAATCTAATTCAACAGCATCAAAATCTTGAAAAAAATCTTTCTGAAGAAATCAAAATTTCGAAATCACGTGAAATTCAATTACAAAAAGAATTATTACTTGCACAAAAACGTTCTTTATCATTCGATCAAGAAATAGACGATAAATTAAAGTTCAGAGAAAATGAACTAAAAACAAAATACAATGAAGAATTAGAACACCAGAAGTCGCAGAAAAAAATTCTACGAGATCGTGTAGAGCGAATGTCGAGACGCGAATGGCAATTAGAGCAAACAAATGTCGAATTTCAACGAAGAATCCAGCTTCTTGAACTCGATAAAGAAAAATTTAGAGAGGAGAGAGAAGAGCTTTGGAAATTTAGAAGAGATAAAAGCGATGATAATGTTGCTATCGCTGTATTAATTTTTCTGCTTCTGATTTCGTGGGTTTTGTTTTTTATGATTCTACGAAACATGTATTAGATTCTTAATTATGCATTTTTATTTTTGAATATTACAAATACATCTGTAAATTGAATCCACTAACGATAACATTGTACAATAAATCAAAAGAAATTTATAACGATAACGATATAAAATTAAAAGGGAGATTAACGATATTGCTTAATTCCACTTTTTTGGAAGAATATCGATATCGATAAATTGCATTCTTTATATTCTTACGCTACATGATATTAAAAAAGTTATTATCCAAGTTTCTATTATCTTAATTTTTTACAATAGAACTCTGCATCCAAAAGGTTACCAGTACATGTACTACGTAGCGGGAGGGCATGTACGTATTTGAAAAAATAATTGATTTGTCTAAACACGTGTAGCATGCCCTTTTTGAGATGCGTTAAAGTAGTACCGGTACCCTAGCCATAGCGAAAAAAATGTACGGTGCACGTGGTCTAGAATAAGTCCGTTAAAATATCCGATTAATATTAGATATCAAGTATTAGGGTTAGGGTTAGAGCTGAGATTAAGATTATATATAAAATTGTCTTCCCGACATTTTTTGATAGTACACCAAGCTAGATTTAGATACCTGATTTTGTATTTTCGTATTTTTTGTCTTTTCTTATTTTCTTGTGCCGGATTTGTTTTGCCGGGTTGATCAAAAATTTGCTACATTCCTATTGG